CTGATGTTACTAATAGACGGTCACATTTGAACAGCCATACGACTGTGTATTGTCTTGTTTGATCTGCTGGACATATTAACCAACAAGAGTTGAAACAAGATGCAAAGGTTGTGCCGTATAGGTTTAAAACAAACATATCATTCTCGGTACGGTTTACTCTACGAGTGACGTCTTCTCATTAGAACTTCAGGAATCTTCTCTTTAAGTTGTCCACTAGTAGGCACGCGATAATTGTAAGTGTAGGATTTTGAAGATTGTTAAATCTCATTGAAATTCTGAACCCAATGCTAAAACTTATCATGTGCTCACTAATGACTAGCTACAAGTGGAATTTCCCGGAGTTCTGGTGAGCAGTCGTGAAGTTTAACCATGTCGGTTGTGATGCAGTTACGCATCGAAGAAATATATCATTTTAAAAAAAACGTATTGTGGATTTTACAGATATATCCAAAAATATCCCTAATTTGCATAATAGTTTTAATATCCGATAAATGCTGACAGAAAGACATTAAAATATTTACCATATTTTTTGATCTCCAGTTTTTAAAACAAGGATCATACATTTAAAGCATCATCTTTATATATCAAACCAAATTAAAAAGCGTCCTGTCATTAAGGAAACCAGTTTTGTATATGATATCATAGTAATCAATTACAGATTGTCATTCAAATTTATTGTTGACTTGAGTATAGCATTTAATACGTTTATTACATTATAACATCGTTTCAAATTTATCATACTGTATAATACTAATTTTCTCATTATGATATTATTATTATTTATTTATCTTAACACATAGATATTTGTACAAGGAAGCATCAAATACATATGCGCCACACAAACCTCATTTGATATTTGTGAGGGCTGTGATACTGTCCGGGTGCCCAAACCGAAGCAGGTAGTTTTCCTAGGGGGCCACACCCCGAGCCTTCTACCTAAAAATCTGACCCACAAGGCAGTGGAGCATCGTAAGGAGATGCAGTCCCATGGGAGCCGGTGACCAATTTGTTCCCTTAGGGTACTGGAGCCCATGTGCATCATCGGTTTGGAATCAGGGTTTTCCAACTCCCCTAGGTGGACTCTCCGTGTCCACCAACCCGGTTAAAACACCGGATATTCGCTTTTCGTCCTTTCAATTTTGTATACAACACCCCCGCCACAAGTAGGCAGTGAATAGGACTTCCCTGGCATAGGCTATATACGTGTGGCCATGTGAGAAGATTTTGAGAGGGAGTGCGGACTCTCCCCGATTTCTGCCGTACCAGGGCATTTGAAGGCTTTCTCATCATAAAATCATGAATTGTCTGTTTTGATTGTGATCATTAATTAATTTATATCTTTTGAATAATTTAATCTCATTTTATAATCATAATCATTTAAATTAGAAACAAAACAGATGACTTTCAAAAGTTTATTCATAAAATAAATTTGTTGAAAACATAGAATAAAATTGTATACAACATAATATTTCATAAACGACGTATTCACAGAAATAATCGACAGAATTCAATAATCGACTGTTATAGTATGGAAACAAAATCATATTTTTGCTTAAAGCTATACTACAATTTGAAAATCGTCCATATAATTTCATAGTAAAACATATTTCATATAGAAATTAATGTAAATATATGTTTAGGTATTCTTTAAACATACAAGGAACTAGAAAGAATTTTTAGGATCATTTCATATGATTCTATCTGTTCTAAATATTTCAGTCAAGTTTATAATGTGATTTGAAAAATGTACAGGAAAATTTGATTTTGGAATGTAAGTAAATTTTAAAAAAAAACCAATCACACCTAATGGAGAAACTCTAGAAGAAGTGAAAAGTTTCATGTGGAGGATCTGATGCAGACGGAGAGAGGTGGATTGGCAAAGCAAGGACAGCATTTCTACTTCTGAAGAACATATGGAACTCAAAACACTTGTCAATCAACATCAAATACAGAATCATTATAACAAACGTCAAGACAGTTCTACTATACGGAGCTGAAACGTGGAGAAATGGTACAACCATAATCGAAAATGTGCAAGCATTTTTATGATCAGTTATCTACGCAAGATACTCAATGACCGTTGACCGGATACCATCATCAACAAACTACTGTGGGTTGTTAGGACATACATTACAAAAATTATCAAACTGCATCGCGAGATAAGCACTAACTTGGAATCGTGAAGGGAAACGGAAAACGGAAAGGTCAATGAACACACTGCACCGAGAATTAGAAGCAGACATGAAAATGATGATTAGTGACTGGAAAGAACTAGAAAGGATTGAACAGGATAGAGTTGGATGGAGAATGTTGGTGGTTGGCCTGTTCTCGTTCACGAGGAGTAACAGGCGTAAGTAAGTAAGTAAATTGAAAGAACTAACTCATGTAAGTGGTAAAAATAGTAATGAAAATGCTTCAGAATAACAAAATGAAATTATTAAACATTTGAGGATCTTTGTTGTTTATAAATATTAAACTTCTTGCATATTTATTATTTATCAGCCAAATTTACCTACCATTTATTAAGAACCGATATTTTACTTAAGTCCCAAATCTGGTTCATTATAACATGTCATAAATGTTTTTGTATAACTCATAACATTTTTTCCAAGCATCACCCTCCAGGTTGTATCTTTACATTTCTGCAGCAATTTGGATGACTATCCCGGTCTCCCACATTGTACGAAAATTTCATGTACCCAAATTAACGGATGCTCTGTATGTCAGAAGGAGCGTCAGCCTCGTGACTTTCGAAGGAACTCGGCTTTCACCATGAGGCATCATAACTCTTTTAAATGAAGACCTTCTTACGCCCAAGGAAGAGTTTAAATAGTTTGAATTATTTTTTCTGGTTATCGTCCTTTTAGCGAGTAAGTTTTCTACGGTATGGGGTCGGTAACCCGATGCCCCACCCTCCTCCTTTACCCAGGCTTGGGACCGGCAGTAGCCTCAGAGGGGCTCGTCAAAATTGAATGGACATTGATGATTCGCTTTACTGTTAAAGACAGTGTTTTAACTCTTTATAATAATTTTTCATTATATCTTCGTCTGAATATCAGTCAATTATTTTAGTAAATAACCACCTGATCATTTTAGTTCATTCTGTTAACCATTAACTGATTATTTAAATAACTGTGACTGAACACGCTTATTGTAACACCTTCGACTACGATCCTAAATTGAATGTTTTCAAAATTGTTAAGATCTCTTTGTGATTATCGCTTAGTATAATATAATGAACTTTACTTGTTAGCATACATAATATTTATTATTACATATTGCATAAAAAGCATTTGCAGATACTTAAATATCTTTTTGCACATTTATGCTGAACTCGCTAAATATTTTTATTTGATAATGCAGCTACATATATGTGTTTGTACGAGATATATATTAAATCTATATTTCACTGAGTAGTAGTTATCTATGAGTAATATATTACAGTAATTTGTTTAAAATAAGTAAATAAAAACGATTATTAAACCAGAAATAATTTTTCAGCTAAATAATTAATTAGTTTCAATAGTTGAAATCATGAGTCAATTGAAACTAGACCAACAAGAAAAATCTGGAAGAACTGGATGACCGTTTCGTCCTAGTATGAGACTCTTTTAGTGGCCCGTGGATCTGACTCCATTTAGATCGTAATGGATGATTGTTGTTGAAATATATGTGTCACCTATCCTCGTATATAATGATTGACTTTAATCGCGTTAGTCAATAACGGAATTACATAAGTCGAATAACGAGAATGGACTTATGAATACATATATTTTCTATATGAAGTGAATGAAAAAGAGCAAAGCAAAATAATGAGCTGTGAAGATGGCTGGTAAGCCAACTCGTTTTTAATCAAACGTTACTCAATATTTATAGGCATACAAAACAAACTACAGACATGTGATGAGACATGGGATATGAAGTGTACACACATATACGCTCATATAAAAACAGCCAAGACTGATAAGCGAATAATTAACAAGGTCAAAATATGACTCAAGTAAAATGAATAGGATGGAATGTCCAAAAGCTAGAATAAGGTATATGGGTTTAACATAATAAATGACACTACACTCTTCAGCAGTGCGCATTCACGATTCCGCCTCCCGCGACATTCAAACGCATTGTCTTCAGTGAGTTGATATCTCACAAGAGACCTCGATGGACTCCACTGATCACGACTTCTCACTAGAACTCCAGGAAATGCCTCTTGAAGTCAGCGTACGGTGGCGCAACTTCGTGGATTGGTTGAAATGAGACACTAACACCTTTGGATGCAGACTCAGTGGTCTAATTATTAGGCGCTAGCTCGCGAGACTGACAGGTCCTGATTTCGAATCTCGCGGGCGGCGGGGTCTTGGATGCGCACTGCTGAAGAGTCCTTAACTGGGACGAGACGGTCGTCCAGTTCCTCCAGGTTTTCCATGTTTATCTAGCTTCAATTGGCTCATGTTAGGTTTTGAGGCTTCACGAGTTCACTTAATCTGCGAACGAGAACAAGACTCATTGACCAAAGATCAGTAATCTAGCTATTGATGCGTTCCAGCACCGCTATCTAGAAGGAGAAGTCCAAGCTTGATATGGAAAATATATTCTGCAAACAGTCAGAAAACGAGCGAGCCCACAAACACAATTTAAAACGTATTTATACAAATATATATAATCGATATTGTTATGGGAAATTTTTAAACATTAATCAATGAGTTCATCAATTGACTGCTATTTAATCATTTAATCGATAAGTTCATCAATTAACTGCCATTCAAATATTTAAATATTTAATCGATAAGATGAAATTACAAAATATGAGTTTTGGGGATATATCGTCCCTAACAACTCATGATTTCAACTATTGAAATTTCTAAAAAATCTCCACAAAACTCCTTCTGATAATTAATGATTTTTTTAAAAATCAATTCGTAAAAAAATAACCGTTTCATTAGTCAATGAATATTTAAATAATTAATTATAAATTTTGTAATAAATATTTAAAGACTTACGCAATTTCCCAACACTCTTTACATAAAATATTCGAATTTGACAATGATATTTTGCATGCACAATTTTGGCAAACATTACGAATGCATTTAATACATTGATACGTTTCTGTTAATGAATTAAATTGATGTAAACATATTGGACATAATTTTGAGAATTTGGATGTAAATCTACGTAATTGTAATGTTGCATATGATCTGCGTTTGTAAACATATTCTAAATGTGACATGTAATCCTCATCTTCAACTGAATTTATATCATTAGATTGGATAATTGTGGCGTAAGTTGAAACAAAGCCACTACCAGGAACTGCTGGAATTTTATTACGCAATTGGTTCATATTACTGAGTAGAATTTCAGGTTGTAGTTTAGAAGGAAATGATCCAACTAAGTCACTGAAAATCGTGAAAAAAATTCTTTGTCATACTTTCTAAATAAAATTTACTTATTAATCTTGTCAAGGCGATTAATTTTGTAAACATTTAGAAAGTTAATTTTGTTCGTTTTCTACATTAAATAATACCTAACTTCTCATTAAATTTAGCCAAAATATGAACTGGAAACTGGTTAGGGATTAATTTTACGCTAACTGATCAGTGAATGGAAACCAATGTTGTCTTTGCCTAATTCTTAGTGCACACACACACGCCGGTTTACATCACTGAACATTTTATACACAATGTTTAGATATTGCCACTTCCTGTCTATCCTTTTCAACTGTAAAGCAGTTGTGTAAATCATTAAATTTTTTCACGTTATTCCAAAAACAAGCTTCTTAAGCTATGTCTACATCAGTTAATATTATTGGTTAGATGTATGTCGGTTTTTATCATACTTACGGGCAGATGCGTACAAACGTTGTGAATCACAGTTGTTACATAAATATGATATTGTGTTTAGTTCTAAATTGATTTGGTTAATATACGTGTTTCCTCTAGCCAACCGCGATTCGGATTAGGTTTTCTCAAAACTTAACAGAACTAAACGAAAATTGTCATCCATAACACAACCAAATTTTATCAGACAATACAAGTAGAGTAATCGGTAAAATGATAAATTTTAAAGAACTTCTATAAACTGAGACTTTAGCTATGAAAATAAATGGAACAAATAAACGAAAGGAATGGTAACCAAGCAACACTATTACCAAATGCCTCAAAACATTGTTCTTAAATTTCACTAGGTGGATGAACAAATATAAGTAACTGAAGAAATAGTATTTTTAATTTTGAGTGTGACTCTTATACCAGGTAAAAACTAGATGAAAGAAATATATTAAAACAGTAAAACCGGGAAACCCTACAGGCGTTCGTTTGTTCATCTTAATTTACCTTAGTTTGTTGAATCTAACATGGTTGGCTTTCAAGGAAGAGGGTGTATTTTCACTTGACACTTGTTAGGTTTTTTTCAAAATCGTGTTATATGGTGGGCCATAATGTTACCAGCGGTTTTGGTAACTAATTTGTCACAGAGTAATGAATCACACGCTAAGAAGTGGATAGGCTTTTATTCTTAAACCTTATAATTTATATACCTCATGGTATTTGGTGTTTGCTCTCTTTCAATTGTACAATTTATTGTTATTGTACCCAGGTAGCTTTTGGTCTTCTGAATAATACAGTTTATTGTGATCACATATGTTCTTCCTTGCAATCAGTCTTAAGAAGATTAGGAGGCCTTAGTATTCCTAAAGACATCAATATTTTGGTTTAGCTATTGCACCGGACGAAGTTTGCTTGATATTTGAATTATTATGATGCTTCTATGACACAATAAACTATCAAGCTTTGATGCTTATCAAAGTATGTGACGGAAGGTAATGATATCATTTATGGGAATCTTTGGTTTTGGTGAAATTCATCCGGTCTTGGTTGTAGAAAGTTACGAATCCGCTCATAGTTGGATGCAAAATATAGTGTTTTGCTTTTATTATTATTGATTACGTGCAATAATTCCTATACTTTTGAGATGTGACTACTCAAATGTAGGCTTTGCATTTTAGGGTTCTGAATTTTAAGTTTTAAAGGTCTTTCGACCCTTGTAATTTCACTTTATTCAATATATGAAAGCTATACGTAGCAGATAAGACATTGTTGTTTTGCAAAGTACGGATACGTTGGGATCAACCTTCAAAGAGTCGATTTGCGGCATGAGGAAGAATCCTAAAATATTCGTTTTTCCCTGTGACTATTATCCTGTTTTTTCTCAATATGTCTCGTCTCCTCTGTCGTTCTCCGTATATACGTATATTCCACATTCCTTTCTACTTACTTGCAATCATCATCGCCGTACTGTTTATAACCATTGAAACGTGGTCAACTCTTAGACGTTATTGAGGTATAAACCACAGTTTAACTCTTGTTTTAACCAAAAATTTAAATTCCGACTACAGTCGTATTAAACGTCTGCGTTTCTGATAGATTATGTTGGATTCGACTGACTAGGTGTGTTGCTGCAAAGAGTGGTGTTTGGTTTCTTGGTTGTTGTTAAGGTTTATTGTTTTGAAATGTTCATAGTTCAGTTTCAAGACATTTAATTGGCGATGTTTAGGTGTTTCTGGAATGGTTCAATATTCTCATGTTGTTAGAAATTTCATTGCTAAGTAATTATTGCACATTCTTTATGTTTAATAGCTGACCGTACCTAGCAGATCTTACGTGATTGTTATTGTAACAATGACCTAACGTAACAAAATAGGCATTGTTCGGGTATATTATAAATCATTTGTAATTAGATTTGTTTATTCAGCAACGCACATCTATATTGACCTGTACAGTTTTCTTCTTTATTTAACAGAAAGTATCGTATGTTATCGACTCAACTGGGGTGCATCATTGAAATTCCTCCCGTCTGGGCATTTTTAAAATTGCAGACAGTTTCGCATTATATAATGATCTGCTCAGACAACTTTTCTTGTCTAAACCTCTTCAACAGGTGCAAGCAGTGTGTGTCATTGCAAAACAACGCCGTAGACGAGCTGGCTGCATCTGCCGGTCGTATTTTAGAGATCACCAAATCTCCTAACGCCAAGGTTTTTTCAATCAAAGAAAGAACTCAAACGACATGAAATGGCACTACCGGACTCTGTCGTACGATAACACTTAACCTTCAGATTTGTAAGGACCGTAAACGACCACAAACCTTTCAAAGGAGATTTTCACGAAAGCTATCTGTCTCTAGACGACGAGAGACAGATAACCCCGACTGGTCCTGCGATCATAATCAGTACGGAAAATTTTCTCGAAATTGCAATGTTACAAACTTCAAACCGACCGATATGAAAAAAGTTTCGGTAAACTTCCCAGTTGGCGCGCGTTGACGGCAACCGTAGCCGGCGAGCACAGCCGTCTGTTATACGTCACTGATGTGACTACAAATGTTCGCTACTTCACTGAGACTGACACAGAAGTTAGCGTTCTTGCAGCGAATTCTAGAGACCGAGTGCACAAACCGGTTTTAAACCTACAGATGGCAAACGGAAAACTGTACATCACATAGGGCGTTACTGCGGAAATACATTAGTAAGAATCAGTACAGTGAAGATAGTGAGACCCTCGAATGGGCCAGTTCATGGCATACGATTAACTGATGAGCGTTGGTCATCATTGATCTTGACGACAATCGATGATCTGTTTGATATTCAGTAACACATCTAACAGATGATTTGTCTACGGCTTTGTGAAGCATCACTGATCCTACAAATTCCCCTCAGGTTTGACTGTTAGACAACTTCAAATTTCTTCGTTTCGTTTATATGGATAACGACTGAGAAACAATTTCTGTGTACTCCATCATGCATAGGATTGACAAAAAGTCCGCCAAGTTACTGATCCGACCTCATTACTCGCAACCTTAAATATCTCCATCCTTCGACAACAATAACAGTCTTAACACTACTGGATCAGCAAATACCAACACAATGTGGATGGTTAGAAGGGCAACACAGAGAAAATAATTACATCAAAATATTTAATAACGGCAAATGAGATATCAAGCAGATGATACAAGGAACAAAATGAAACACTATCAAAGAAAAACCAATAAGGATTTAAGAAACATGCACGGAAGAAAACAGAAGCAGTTGTGTTGTCAACCTGTCAAATCAACTGTCGAAAAGAATCACCAGTAGGACAATCAATATTAGGGCTGATTGCACAAGCGGTGATGTAGGGACTGGAAGCCTTGATTTTTCCAGAGACCAGGCCAAAATTGTGGATCTGTCATGAACACTACACATTTCTTGTCAAAGAGGATGAGCTAGAAAACAACCACAATGTGGTGGGCAAAGCCTTCAGTGACAAGAATTTTGGAAGTTAACAGGGCACGAACAATAAAAAGTCATTCTTGAATGTCTTGATCACTAAAACTGACACGGGAGGATTACTGGACAGTCTGTTAGTCGTATGTGGAGAATGTCGAATAATCTACTTCCAATTGAAGTTTGAACTGATGCTGTTCAGAAGAGCGTTGAAAGCTTCACGATCAGGTTATCTTGTTCAGAAGACGGAATTGAACCATAATGAACCCACTGAGCTATAAATCTTTTCACAACCATATGGCCTAAGAATTATGATTACAGAACTTCTAAAACGAAAGAGATATTTAAACATTGAGGTCCATATGCGTTTGCTGATTCAAGTGGAATCAAACCTACATTCCTTATATGACAGGTGACATGTGACTTTCTTATAGTACTATTTAGAAATGTTTATTTGTCAGTAGCGAGATACTTTTGGCTGAGAAAACAGCATGTTTGTAGATTTCTGTATCAGAATTTTCACAGTATGATCAGATCCACGTATCACTCTGCTCTTTTCAACTATCCTCTTTGACATTATGAGGGCGAATGAGTTATCGCTGACGATCTTTATAGAAGTTCAGATAAACATGATTGTGAACTAATTTGAAACAGCTTCTCAATATTTTCTTGAATCACATTTTATGTCAACGTGTTTATCATGTTCCGCTATCCCGAAAAAAATTGTTCTAGAAGAGCATAATTACCGAAGAGTACACCGAGTAAAAAAGGAGTAAACTGCCTGTTTGAAGGTAGTAAGCTTTAGTCTTGCTTGGTAGAGATGCATACGGACAGGTGATTTGACGAATTCTTGTATTGCTAATAACCCTTCATATTTAAAATGTAAAAATGTATTTTAGTGAATAACTACATCAAACGTCAATGTATATATGATCACGTCATTTCATTAGTAGTTCAAAAGTGGTTCGTAGCAACATGAGTGAGCCTCATATCATCTCAGGTTATTTTGCTAGTAGGTTATACCTCAAGATTCCAGTTGTTGTCTTTATTCGTTACTGTATTAAGCATTTTTTAGTAATTGCCTATTGGAAGACAAAATAAGAAAAAAATATCGTAAAAAGTAAAAAGTGAGCTATAACCTTAGATTGACGGACTGCATAGTATGCTGAATGGATGTTAAAATTATCATAATACATTATAGCAGTCAACAATATAACTCATGCAAAGGGAAACTACTTCAGACCATTTCGTACATATAAAAACTTTTTCATTGTCATACGAGTATACAAAGGCTGTTCGAAACTCACTAGATTCTCTCGCTATCTGCCTTCTTGAGTGCTTGATCTCTTTGCATAACAGATCTCAGGTGATTAACTTCCGTTTCAGAAACTGATGGGTTTGCTAGGTAGTTGTCTATCCATAAGCGTGGGTCTTCATACTTTGAAGTCATTTGAAGCAGCAAAACATCTTTCATTTTATAAGATTCTACGGTCATATTTTTTATGCTTCCCTACACTTTCGAATGAAGCGCGAAATTGGTGTTTTTGTGGACTGAAAAATTTTGAGGTTATCATAGTTAGGCTGGTATTTTTGAAAACTCAGAACAAAATACAACATATCGATGAATACTTTCATCAATCATTATTTTAGAGACATTAAGTAAAATGTGTTTATCTAAGTTAACATGTGTCCGTTATGCAGATCCTTGCTAGCGGGTTTTTGGGATGCATTGTAGGTTTGGCTGTTGCATTTGGATAAAATGTGTATGGTCAGATATTTTTAGGATGACAATATATTTGTATCTACGTGAATTTATCGCGTACTAAGTATTCATAAAGACACTAAACGTACTGTGTGTCTAGTTACTGTGTTTATTATATGAGAAATCAAAACATTATTGTTTTTTCAGTGATTCATACCACTGAATTACAGTTGGCTTAGTTTTTGGCTTTAACCAAAGTTTGTATATGTGGCTCGTTCGTGGTAGGAGTTTATTTTCAGCTTAAGTAGTTTCTGTTTTATTTGCGAGTTTTTTTCGCAAGTACTTATAACATTGCTTTGTCCGAGTAAATCTGTAGCAGGCTATCATGACTTTGATTTTCGGTGATTTTCATGTATGTTCTAGGATACTTCTGGTTCTAGTTAGGAATGGTGCGGCACTTACCAATTCACATATAGGTTTTTTTGGCCAAAATTGTGATAATTTTCACAGTCACTCACCAACCTCCGGTTATATTGTCGTGCAAGCATTCCTCCATGTTTCACGTAAACGGTTATCTTGAGGATGTGACTAAGATTTCCAGACAGTTCATAAAAATGCAATCACCTCCCATGTGTTTTAGATTATTCGTTAATATCAGAAGTTTGTAGAATTAACGACTTTGAACTGCCAGATTGTAATCCAAATTCAGGACCAGAAATATTCGTCAACTTAGCATTAGTCTTAGTAATAGGGTCTGAAGTTTATCCTGACTGCTTATTTGACTGACTACCACGTGATATTCCTATCATACCAGTGCAGTGCGATATACCAGGTGTGGCCCCCTAAGAAAACCACCTGCTTCGGTTTGGGCACCCAAGCAGTATCATAGCCCTCACATATATCAAATGAGAGCTGTTTGGCGCATATGTATTTTGTGCCTCCTTGTATCAATATCTATGTGTTAAGATAAATAAATAGTGCGATATCTTGATGAGGCGACTTCATTTTAACTGTGTTCATTGTCTTTTTAGGCGAATGTGACAGCCCAACTCATAAATCTGAATACCTATAGCATCAACGACTATGATGGGTTTAGTGAAAATGCTGATAATGGTTCAAATAATTGTTTAATTCAAATGTCATAGGGATATTATAACGTACGTGTAAATTAGGTCGCGTGTAAATTGATATGGAATGTAAAAATTGAAAAACTTGACTGTAAAATTAAAATTTGTAAACATGACTTATGGCACTATAGTTGGGAACATGATGGTAAAGTTATTGTAGTTAGCTTAGTGACATTTATAAACATGTGGCAATGGTAATTAAAACTAAGAAATGTCAGATTAATTATTTGTCTGAAAACAACACACTTTCATAGTAGTATGTTGTTCTATAAAGCTATTAAATGTACTTATATAACAAACAGTTTTGGAAGTGGTTTATATAAAATAGATGTGTATTGTCTAAGCGAAAATATACAAATGTTAAGAAGTATCGTAAACAGTAAATCACCCAGCAAAATACAATAAGTCTGTGATTTGTGGACGACCTTCGAACGATGCTGAACTGATTTAGAAAATACCTACTTATTAGGGTCAAAAGGGGGTTATGAGTTAGAATGAGGGGTCAGGATTAGGAATTAAAGTATGGGTTTTCATCACAAGCCCACATAATTTATAGCGCCGAAATGTTATTTGACCATTTTGATAAGTGAATCCAGTGACAAAAACCAAGGTTTATCTTAAATCTATGTGTCTCGTCCTCAAATTATAGTCTTACTCCACTCACTGGTCATAGTATTTACAACACGTTTTATGTATTGGACAAAATTTCAACATTATTTACTTTTAATTAGTTTTTTTATAACTTTAGTGTGATACTAAATAGTGAAAGTTGTTCTCTCAAATGGAAGATCCTGAACGACATTTCGACTGGGATCATGGATTTCCTGACATATCTCCTATTTCTAACAACACATCTTATAGCTCATTCAGAGTAAACCAGTCTCTAGATAAAAACCTAGGCATGTATACTTTGCCTGAATTTCATAACGAAGATAAGGACGAATTTTTTATTTATGGGACGTGTATATCAGTACGTGGAGAGCAGTCTGAATCCCGACCTGAGTATATTGATGAAACAGTAAATGATTCTCCAGTTCTTCCGGAATATACATCAACAAATGTTGAGGAAAGTTATAAGTCAAAAATTAATGAATTGCACAAACAAATAAGAAACTTAGAGGAGGAGGCTAGTCAAGTTCCTATTCTACAGGACAATTTACGTTATTTGTATGAAGAAAACGTACGCCTTCATGAGAAAGATGAAATTAATGAGTCTCATCGATTTCAAAACGGTGAACACATTGATAGCACTGATGAAGAAGTAGAAGAAATTGTTGAAGAGGAAGTCCGGACATATAAAAAGGCTCCTAAAACTGACCCTGTTGCTAATGACCTTCCTAGTCCAAATCACCTTGGTAACTTGAATAACGGGATCGATAAGAGCCAGTTTCCTTCGGAATATTGGTCTAAACTGGAGTCGTACTTCTACAAACGCTTTTTATCGGAACGACCTTTTACTCATAAAATTGCCATGCAGTCATCGGAAGCTAATAAACGCACCACAGCTACTATGGCTTGTCCTATCAAATCGTCCGAATTTAGATGCGTTGGTATCAATGTTTGTCCATCCATTCAGGAAGTTGGAGTTCTCTGTTCACAACCAGAAACACGCGAATTTGGTTGCCTTTTTTATGAAACCGAGTCGATGACTAAAGAATGGTTGAATCGAGTTTTCCCAAAAATGGAAGACAAAGATAAGAAGATTGTACACAAAGTTATACGAAGCTTTTATGAAAGTCGTGAAGAATTTGTTAGTACTTTGTTATCAATTATTAAAAAGTCTGTTTGTCACGTGGGTATTCAATCTCAAATAGTCAGCCAATCTCGTGGTTGTTCACCTATCTTGAAGGAAATAGAAAAAACAGTCTCGAACCCGAACTTAATCGGTCAGTCCCTTCAGTCACAGGTCTCTGAGTTTGTCCAGGCCATGCCTGTTTTAAACAGTCGGTGTACTATGACAAAACGTCATCTGGGTGTTAATGCTGGATGTTTAACAGAGTCTCCCGTCTTACGTAGTCAAGGTACCTCCCCCAAAAAGGATTTACGAAGTTTTACTACATGTGGTGTACAATACGAAAGCAATGTAGAATTGGTTCATAGGGCTTGTGATCCAATATACCCTGAACTAAAACGTATCGCATCATCAACACAAACACTTGAGTGCAGCAAAATGGTCACTGACGTTCCTTTACATAAAAAGGATATCATAGTAAAATCCTACCGATCTACAGAATCCTTTGAGGTTAGTTGCTGTTCTCAGGCTTGCTAAATATATAATTTGTATGCGTCTTGCATTAGTTCTAATTGTTGCATTGTGTTGTTTAAGTATCGGTTTACACTCATGCTCTTCTATCTAAATTTTAATACAGATGCTGAATCTCTTTTTGAAACCCTCCGAATCGGCCCATTTGGCGGAGTATTCATGTACATATCGAAAGGCACTTATCTTGGTTAGTAGTCTTATTTGCCCCACTACGTTGTTCTGAGACTTCTCGTACAGGTAAATAACATGAGATTGTAAACATCCACAAAGACGGAACACTTGATGTGAGGCGTGTATCATACACACTAATCTGCTTCATACTATGGACAATAGAAATGTATGACGATTAGGATTTAAATATGTTAGGGTTGACCAGATCAGAAATTCCGTTAACATATGAAATTGTTGACTATTGTTACAGGACTTGTATGTAATTGTAAAGTGCTAGAAAGTATCGCAGTAGAACAAATGGATCATCCTTTTAAATTTCAAAGTCTTTACTATCCTTTAGCATGTTGTTTCTGTTCCGTCTATTATTTTTATCCTTTTGTTAAATCTATTATGTTACAAAGCGTGGCTACTTAAACTGTTCCATTCTCTTACTGTATTCTTTATCGTTGCACGTATCTGTTTGAATCCCGATCTTCTGTAGAGCTTATTTTGTTAAATTTAAACTACTTTCATACATGCATTTCCTGTGTCATTAATTGTTTTATGAGGAACCGGCACATACCGTTACACATATATGACGCTCACTGATTTCCAATATTGGGATCTTGTGGCAAGACTGACAGTAACCAAACTTATGACATGGCTTATAAGTCTATTGTGATGGCTCGTATCCATTCATTCCTTAGGTTTCAAGATTGTGTTTTGCTTTTTCCTTATTTGATTCCTTCTTTCCGGACCGTATTTTCCATGTTTAATCTTACCATCGTTTTTGATACTTTTATTCCGACTTGTGCGCCATTTATCTTATTAATTTTATGTCTCTATTGAAATGATTTATTAACCTGAGATGATGAACATTTGTATCTGGTTGCACATTGATTATGACTGATTAGTAAACACTGTGATATAAATTTTTATATCCCTATAGAATTTAAGAATAATTTAATCGACATCGTTATTCACTCGAAAATTTCAAGAGTATGTTTATTGATTTCGAAGTAAACCATTATTCATTTAAGTTAGAAATAATCCAGTCACTAGACTTAAAAAAATACGCTCAATTACGTTTCATAGTGCCTAATATTCAGTTCCTACGAAATATCCTCCGTCTTTTAACGATATAATTATTTACATAACTTTTTCGATTTGCTTGTAGAAGACTGAAAAACTTCCAAGTATTCAAGAGACAAATGATTCGAATTCTGTTTGCATTACTAGACCATCGAGATGTGAATCTCCAAGGTTAAGTCAAACAATGATTCCATTATCGAGACTGCCTTCATGTACATCGAGTTATTCTGAGGGTTAT